GTAGGCCCCGCCCCTAACGGCTGCCTGTGGCACCAGCGCGCGCCCAGCAAGGGCGGGGGAGAGCGGGGACGCGGCGCCGCTTCTCATTGGTCCTATCCTTAGCCTTAGGGCAATGCCCCGCCCACCTGGAGGCTTTCCGTTGGCTTTGCCTTGGGTTCCACCCCTGGCTATCTCTTCTGTCCCGCCCACCGAAGTTTGACAGCACCACGCCCATGACTGCTTTTCATTGGCTGTCATCTCCCTTTTGAGACACACCCCTAGTTCTTTATGCTTTGCATCGACTCTTCTAACACTAAGCAATCGATCGTCCTCCTTAGTTCACTCTCAGAGACACTCTTCCGACAGTTTTAACTGGAGTCTCCCACGGCCTCAGGGCTTTGCTCCATTCCTCAAGCAGCTTTTTTTTTTCTTTTTTTTTTTTTTGCTACCGGGGATAGAACTCGGGACCTTGTATGAAGCGGCTTTTCAAAGACCGGGTTTTCCAGTCCCACCCTGTCAGTCCCGACCTGACCCCGCCTAAAGGATCAAAACGGCGCCCCGCCCAAATTCATTTTTCTTTGCTTCTCACCGTGCTCGCCCTACCCATTGGACATTTTTCTTGCCCTCTCTTCTGCTCCCTACTGGCCTCGCCTTCCATTGATAATTGAAACAGGGAAACCAGGCGTGGTGATATGCACCTGTAATCTCATCACTCTTGGAGCCTGAGGCAGGAAGATCTCCCCTGTCCTGGTCGTGGAGAACTTACTGATTTTTGAGAAACTCTGTCACAAAATAAAAAATGAAAAGGGCTGGGGAGGGATGTAGCTCAGTACAAAGGTCTTAGGTGCAATCCCTAAACAAACGGAAAAATACACCATACCCACATCAAAACTCAAAAGCTAGTGGGAGTTAAGCATGGGGCACATAATTGTAATTTCCAGGACTTGGCAAGCTGAGGCAGAAAGATCCTGAGTTTGAGCCCAGTCCGGGCTACATAGAGAGTTCAAGTTCAGCCTGGGCTACATAGCAAGACTCTGTCTCAAAAGGAAAAATAAGAAAGCCAGGCATGATGGCTCACACCTGTAATCCCAGCATTTGAGAGGCTGAGGTAGGATTCAAGGGAGTTCGAGGGAAACCTGGGCTATGTATTGAGTTCGAGGCCGGCCTGGACTAGTTGGTGAGACTCTGTCTCAAGAAAACAAAGACACAACACTTTTTTTTCTGGCATGGGGATTTGAACTCAGGACCTTGTGCTTGTGAGGCAGGTGTGGTGCCACTGAGCTAAATCCTTGGTCCCACAAGAAACCAAATAGAAACAAAGAAATGAGAGAGAGGGGGGGGGAGAGAGAGAGAGAGGAGTTTCAAAACCTAATAAAGACAATGAAGATTTTTAAAAAATTTTTTTCAATACCGGGGACTAAACCCAGGGACCACTGAGCTACATTCCCAGCTTTTTAAATTTTTTTTTTTTAATTTGAGACAAAGGCCAGGCGTGGTAGTGCACGCCTGTAATCTCAGCACTTGGGAGGCTGAGGCAGGAGGATCGCTGTGAGTTCGAGACCAGCCTGGGCTACACAGTGAGTTCCAGGTCAATCTCAACTACATAGTGAGACCCTGTCTCAAAATCCCCCCCGCAAAAAAAATTGAGACAAATTGTCCAGACTGAACTTTCAATCTTCCTGCCTCATCCCCTTAAATAGGTGGTATTATATGTGTGTGCCACCAGGCCAGCAAAGTATTTTAAATCTAAAGTGTTCTAAGGAAAAAAAACTTAATTATGGATTGAGGAAAGGCAGGGCTGTGGCAGGGGAGCAGAATCAATTCCCAGTTACTTTTGTTTTGGGGGTCTTGTTTGCTTGCACTAAGGATTGAACCCAGAGCCTTCACAATGAGATACATACCCAGTCCTTGTTTTGAGACAGGGTCTCCCTAAATTGATAAATTGCCCAGGCTGGGCTAGAACTTGAGGCTTCTGCTTTCATCTCCCAGAGTGCTGGAATTACACCCATGTACCATCATGCCTGGCTTCCCCGTGTAGTTTTAAAACAAATTCTTTGGCATCCCACTCATTGGCAGATGGAGTATATGCCCTTGAACCCGGGCAGAGCCACGACAACAAATAGAGAACAGTGGAACTGACACTATGGGACTTCTAAGGGCAACTAGGAAAAGGCAGCGCAGGCTCCCGCTTGTCTGCTGGAGTGAACCATGAGGTTCTAGCATGACGTTTCACATGAGAAGTGTGACGGTGTTGTGGTGGCCATGCTTTGAGGAAACCCAGCTAATAGAGAGCGGCTGTACAGGCATTACAGTTGACCATCCCTGATGAGCTCAGCCTTTGAGTTTTCTCAGCCCTGGTGCCAGGTTGTAAGTGAAGAAGTTCTAAGGGATTTTACCTCACAACTTTCAAGTCGGGTCACCTTTTGAGGCTTTCCAGATCCCGTAGAGACGAGACAAACTCTCCCCAGCTGTGTCTTGTCCACATTTCTAACTCGGAATCCATGAGCGTAATAAAGTGACTGTTTTATGCCACTAAGTTTGGGGTGCTTTGTTACCAAGCAATACTAATTAGCATGGCCCTTCTATTTCACTGAAGTGTATGATTTGTTCAAAAAGGTTAAAAACATTTACCATGTCTCTGATGTACAGAAACTGTCCAGGCTGTCCTTGAACTTGTGATGCACTTGCTTCCTAATCCTGAGTATTACGATGACAAGCTTTCTAACCCCTTGTTTATCAATGCAAATGTCAAGATGATCCTGATCATATATTCTCCATCACTTTATTATGAAAAGCTTTTAACATACAGTAAATTGAAAAATTTTACATTGTACATCCATATGTCCATAGTTAGACCCTACTATCAACATTTTACGATATTTGCCTTATCTCACATTTATCTGCTTACGAAGATTATCCAACTAATCTTTGTATTTCAGTATTGCAAAGTGGTATGCTACCCCCTAAATATTTCAGCATGGATACCTTTAGCTAGCGCTCAAATATATTTTTCTTCTGAGGTAAGCTGTACATACAACACAATTCACAAATTTCAGTGAGATTAGTAAGTGCAGACACCTGTGCAATCCATCCTTAGCACGGCAATTTTGAAAAAACACATAGGCACTAAAGCAAGTGTCAAAGAGTAAGAGAATAAGGGAAAGAAAGTAAACTAGGTAGTCAACATCATCTTTTAAAATTGAACTTTGGAAGTTAAGCTGCATCTTTTCTTCCATATTCTATTAGTTGAGAGGGCACAGTTTCACAAGGATATGACGTTGACTCTACTTGGAAACAAATTAATATTTCATTGGGGAAAACAATTTTATACAGTTCAAAGTCGTCTGGCTTCAAAAGATGCTCCTTCTCTCCGCAGTCACCTCCTTGGAGACCTGGGGGGGGGACCTGGATGGAGACCAAGATCTCGGGTCTTCAGTGTACCCCATCAGAAGAGATAACCATGCATCCACTCTCCTGGGGAGAAGCCAGGGGACAGAGGCTGGGGTATATGCGTAGGGGTCCAGGAAAGGAGCTTAGGAGGGGCAGGCACCCAACGGGGCTCTCAGAGGCTAACCTCTTCTGCAGCCGTAGCTCTGCCCTCTGGGCTCTAAGCACTTGAAGTACAGGGTCATCCTGAAACTCGCTGCCGTCAGAGTCTAGGAGGAAAAGTCAACTCCAGGGGGCTGGATTCTTAGGGGCCTGGACCTCCCCTAAGATCCCAAAGGGTACAAGCAACCCCCTCACCTTCTGCAGCCTCCAGAAGTTGGGCAGCCTGGGAGAACAGGTCCTTGGGGGGGTCATGGTGAGCAGTGGGTGAGGGTGGGGCCACAGCCACATGAGATCCCGGCTCCGGCTCCGATGTAGGTGATGGGGTAAGCAATGGGGCTTCAGGGAGTGTGGATACCCTTTCAACTGGAGCGGGTAGGACCTTAGGCTGCGGGGACCTGGCTTCAGCTGAGGGAGTCACTTGGCCTAGCAGAAGCACCGACTCCTCTAGGGAGGGCGCGGTCTTGGCTTTAGACCGATCCCTGGATTCTGACCGAGGGGGCATGGCCCTGGCCCTGGCCCTGGTGGGCATGGCCTTGACTTCCAGTGGGGTGGCCTCACGTTGAGGGGGTGTGTTCTCCAGGCTCTCAGAGAATAACCGTGCAGTCACCACCTGGCCCAGGGCGCCCCTAAGCTGCGCGCCTGGCCCCTCACTGGCTGCTGTGCCTTGAGGCTCGGGGCCTACCTTCTCCGGCTGGCCAGACCTGCTTGGTGTGCGGGTAGGCGGGCTCTGCGGGGTGGCAGAGTATGTGGGAGCAGTGGTGGGGGGAGCTGAGTTGGAAGAGGCCAGGGGAGCCTGGCTGGAGATGGGGGGAGCTGAGGTGGAGGCTGGGGGCCCCAGGGGAGCCAAGGGATCTAGGGTAGAGACCGGCGGAGGGGGAGGAACGGCCCCAAGAGATACCCAGGGACTGGACTGTGGGGTCCAGAAGAACCCGTGTGTGCCAGGGGCCCAAAAGATGTGAGGAGAGGACCCCAGGGGAACAGGAGGCCTCTCCACATAGAAGGCCTCGGGAAGACTAGGCTGGGTCACACTGCCCCACAGTGGAACACAGGTAGGCTGGGTCACCAGGGAACCAAGGGTCACCGCAGGAGCAGAAGGCTGTAGATATAAAGAAGGATCTGAGAGGGGGACCAAAGGAGTGGAGGTCACTCAGTTCCCCTCAGGGTCTCCCCTCTCTCAACCTACCTGAGAGGTAAGGGCAGGAGTCTGGGGCGGCACCCAGATTCGATCACCCTTGACCCTTTGAGCCTGTTCGAGCTTCCGCCGCTGCCGCCACTGGTACAAAATGTCATCCTCTGTCTGAAGGGGTTGCCGGGAGGAGGCTGGGACTGGAGCAGGGGTAGGGGCCTGGGCTGGCGCTGGGGCTGCTGCGGGGAAAGTGGAGGGGGTGAGTGGGGCAGGAGCCAGAGATGAGAAACCCAAGGGCAGCCCACACTCGCTCTTCGGGCTGCTCAGTAAAGCCCAACTCTGCTCTGGAGCCCAGAAGTGGTGAGGGCTCAGTCAGGACAGAGCAAGCTTGGAGTTTTCTCCCTGCTGCTATCTTTCAGTTCTTCATTCATCCATTCAATAAACATTTACTGAGCTCTTACTATCTACCAGGCCTATACGTTCTGGACATTGGAGATACAACGTCCCCACTGGGCAGACTCTGCAATGTCCCCACTGTCCCTACCCTGCCACTGCCCCTCACCCCGGTCCAGCCTTAACCCACCTAGATTATCACAGCAGCCTCTTCCCCGGACTCCAGACGCTCCTGTCCTCCCAATCTGTTTTCCACTCACAGAATCCTGGAGAGTCCAGGACCCTCCTGGTTATGAACCCTCCCACCTGCCCCTTCCTCCTGGTAAAAGGCAGAGGCCTTTGAGCTTGTGGTTACTCGTATCTGGATTGTTTTCTCCTCATCTAACTCAGGCTTTTCTCTCTCTTCTCTCTCTCACTTGCTTTAGACCTCTTTCTTTCTTTCTTTTTCTTTTTTCCTTTTGGTACTGGGAATTGAACCTAGGGCCTCACAATGAGCCACATCCCCAGCCATTTTTATTTTTTATTTTGAGACAGGGCCTCGCTAAGCTGCCCGCTCAGGCTGGACTCGAACATGTGATCCTCCTGCCTCAGCCTCCCAGACTGCTAGGATTACAGCCTGTGCCACCACGCTCAGGTTGATTCTAGTTTTAAATCTGGCCTCTTTCCTCCACTCTGCTCTTCAGGATGTGGCCCAGATCAAAACAGCAGCATCTCTCACAGGGGAATCTGTTAACATCCAAGAAATACCATGTTCCCTCCATGCCCAGAAGTCTCTTGAGGTTCCCAGTATTAATAACCCGATAACCAAATGTCTCAATGTGCTCCATGGCCCAGCGTCACTGGACCCCTGCTCCCTCACACTTTAGGTCCGATATACAAGCTGGAAGGTTCTTGCCCACCCCACCTTCCTTGTGGAGGTTTCCACGCAGCTGGCACCTCTTCCAGGAAGCCCTCCCTGACTTCCAGCACCACACTATCCTCCCACAGATCCTTCATTTCTATGTGTGCGTCACAGTTCGCAGGCTTATGTGGCAGCGCTCTGCCCCCTTCCCACTGTGCTGTGACCTTGAAGGTGGGACCCAGCACGTGAAGCTTCCTGTTGAATCCCCAATCCTGTTCGCAGGGTCTCACACACGGTAGGAATCAATGTTTGTTAAATGAATCAATGAATGTATTTAACCAAAAACAACCTATGGAGTAAGTACTAGTTTTATCCTCATTTTACAAAGGAGAAGACTGAGGCTCAGAGGGAGAGATGAATAAAAGATAAGGCTTGGAAAGCGTGAAGAATCAGAGAGGTGAGTCTTTGCGTAGGATTGCACAACATACATGAACACCTCCTGTTAACCTGTGCTTGCCTGTCCACACTCAGGAAGCCCCATGAGACCTGGACAGCAGCTGTCGTGTGCATCACAGCAGCCCAAGACCTGGGTACAACAGTAACAACTACTACCACAGTAACAGTAGCCCAGGGCCAGGGATTTAGCTCAGTGGTTCCATTGCCTGCCTCGCAAGCACAAGGACCCGAGTTCAATCCCTGGTACCCGCCCCCCCAAAAAAACCCACAATAATAGTAACCCAGGTCCTTCATCCTTCATGTCTGAAAAAAAATTTTTTTTTTTTCTGTTGTTTTTTTTGAGACAGGGCTCACTATGTAGTTGAGACTGACCTAGAACTCACTATGAAGCCCAGGCTGGTCTTGAACTCACAGTGATCCTCCTGCCTCAGCCTCCTAAGTGCTGGGATTACAAGCGTATGCCACCACGGCTATATCTGAAATGTTGAGAGGTTAACAGTTCACACTTTTTGTTTTGTTTTTAAAGTGGCACTGGGAATGAACCTAGAGTCTTAGCACTGAGTTACATTCCCAGCTCTTGTATCTTTTATTTTGAGACAAGGCCTTACTAAATTGCCCAAGCTGGCTTCTAAACTTGAGGTTCTCCTGCCTCAGTCTCCCAGAATCCTGAGATTACACGCATGTGCCATCATGCCCAGCAGTTTGCACTTTTTAGCTCAATTGCCCAGTATATAAACAGACATTACTCTGGGGCAGTACTCCAGATTCAACCACATTGAAATTTAGCTGAACTATCTGAAACTGCTACTCAACTATATTTACTTATAAAAACAAAAATTCATGCTGGGCATGGTGGCACATGCCCGTGATCCCCAGGAGAACCACAAATTTGAGCCCAGTCTGGGCAATTTACCAACTTAGTGAGACTCTGTCTCAAAAAACAGAATGTAGTTCAGTGTGAAGGCTCTTGGTTCAATCCCCAGTAGCACCACCAAAAAAAAATAAATAAATAAATAAAAGCCATATGGTTCAGTGTACTGTGGACATAGCAAAGAGTATAAATATTCACCCTAAATGAGATCCATATAGATTGTAAATGGCCTTATAGGTCAGACTTTGGTGTCAAAGCAACATGGTTCCAAGTTTGCAAAAGCCTGTGGAATTTGGAGCTGTTGTGCAGAACTGCAGAGAGAACGGCAGGCCTGTCGTGCTCATGACAGCTGCGGACAGAGCTGTGCTGTGTTTCTTGTTTATTCATGAACTCATGTCACCCTCACAATGCCTGTAGGAGAGGAATCCAATTACCATTCCTGTTTCATAGCTGGACAAACAAGGCCCAGAGAGGTACAAACTCACACAGTAAGTGGCAGAGATGGGATCTGAACCAGGTTGCCTCCAATACCTGCCCCCCAGCACTTACCAGTTTGTCTGGGGCCAGAGTCCTTGCTGGAGTCAGGGGTGCAAGTCATGGAGAAGGGAGAGAGGCCATTGGAGCTGACAGGGAAGGAGCCGCAGCTGGCATCACTGGGGCTGAGGGACGAGGAGGAGATGGAGGCTTTGCTGCGGGGAAAAGGGAGAAGTGAGGCAATAAGGTCTTAGAGGCGGGGTGCTGGGCCACAGCTGTAGAAGACGGAGGGAGGATGGACTGGGACAGGCACCTGCGTTTGAGCAGCCTGGAAGCTCTGCTTTGTAGGCTCAGTGTCTCTAGGTCCAGCAGGGACGAGTTCCATGTGTTAAGGCTCTGTGGGGTAAAAGAGGTCAGAGGTCAGCCTTCACCCCAAAGGCTGATGAGAAAGGAGCTCTGGACAGAGGGTCTGGAGTTCAGGTCTGTAGTACCTGTTACCCTCACAATCTGCTTCTCCTCAAGAAAGACAGGCCTAGAGGTCCTCTTCAGATCCAGACCCTTCATGTACAAGTCACTATTGTTGAAGGATTAACCTCACCTTCCTGACCAGATTCTATCTTCTGGTTCACGGTAACTGGACCAAGGATGAACAAATAAGACTGAACCCCAGGGCTTCGGAGGGAGCTATTGCAAAAGCTCCCACTGTCCACTAGAGAAGCTGAGTTCGTACTATGGGAGCCTCAAGCCACTAGGTGCCATCCTAGCTACTGTGAGTGGAAAACCTGCCTGAGGTCGAGCCAAACAAAGAGGAACACAGAACCAAGAGAGTTGGGTTGCTCCCAACATCACCCAAACACTTGGATCTGGCCGTGCCTGAAAACATCTAATTTTATTAATTATATTTAACACATTATTATTTATATTATATTTAACACATCCTCTTTTCTTGTTTCAACTTCCTAGAGTTGGGGACTAGCCCTAATTCTATCCCAGGGCTGGTGCTGGCAGTTCAGGCACACATGGGAGGGAGTGAATAAAGAAGTCACCTGCTTTATTTTCTGAAGGGGAGCCACAGCCTGGGATGTGCTGGCAACCTTGGCTGGAGCTGGGGCTGCTGGACCGGGTCTTCCTTCTGGTTTACTGGGTCCTGCTCAGAAATCCGAGTTAAATTATAGGGGCCAGGAGGAGTCGTTGCAGGGAGAACTAATCAGGAAATGTTAAACTAGGGGTGGCTGGGACCAAAGGAGGTACCTGCTGCAAGTTGACTGCTGCGGTCAGAAGACTCAGTCTGCAGCCACCAAAAATCAGTTGGGGTTGGGCCTGTACACTGTCGTTCCTCTTGGCTTGTGGGCTGAGCTTGGCGGAATCTATTTATGTACCTGTGAGCATCGGAGGATGGAAGACAGGGAGAATGAAGAGAGCCAAATAATGATAAAAATAAGAATAAGAAGAGGAAGAGGAAGAAGAAGAAGAGCTAATGTTTATCAAACACCATGGAAAAATTGGACACAAAAAGCAAGTAGTTGTGTTCCATATCTGTTTTCCTTTCTTCTAGAGTAATACAATTTTTATTTTTAGTATGTCTGCCTATCTATGTGGTAGTAGTGGGGATTGAACTCAGGGCTTCCCACATGCCAGGCAGGTACTCTATCACTGAGCTACAATCCAGTGAAACTGGTAACTCAGTTTTTAGCTGGGCACATAGCCACTGTTCAATGAACTACCTTTGCCAGGTGACTTGTGACCACATTACTAATAGGTAATGAGGAGATACGATTTTAGAAAATTGATAAAGTTAGGGACTGTTTTGGTCCATGAAGAAAAGGACAACAACCTAGGATTAGGACAACAAAGATTAAAGGGACCTGTATACCTCAAACCTCAAGAAGGGATGCGAGGCATGGTGGCACACAAGTGTAATCCCAGCACTCAGGAGGCTGGGGCAGGAGGATCACCATGAGTTTGAGGCCAGCCTGGACTGCACAATGATTTCAAGGCTACCCTGAAATACATAGTGAGACCCTGTCACAAACAAACAAACAAAAAAAACAACAACAAACAAACTCAAAAAGGGGCTACCATATCAGCCCTGATTGCTTCTGCCTGAACCATTATGTGAAAGGAAAATAAATGCTATCTTGTTTAAGCCATAATTAACTTGAGATTCTGTTACGGTGGCTGAACCTATACTGTACAAACCTAAGTACTATGTGGCAGGCACTGTTACAGGTCGTCATGTACAGCAACTCACTGAAAGCTTAAAATAGCTCTAGGACATAGTAGTACATGCCTGCAATCCTAGCACTTGGGGAGCCTGAAGCAGGAGGAGCACATGTTTGAAGCCAGTCTAGGAACTTAGGAATTTAGTGAGACTTTGTCTCAAAATTTAAAAATATGTAAAAGGCTGGAGATTGTAGCTCAGTGGTAGCCTAACCCCTGGGTTTAATCTCCCAGTACTGCCAGATGTGGTGATATATACCTGAAATACCAGCACTGGGGAGGCTGAGGCAGGAGAATCACCATGATTTCAAAGCCAGCCTAAACTGCATAGTGAGACCTTGTCTAAAAATCAATCAATCAATCAATCAATCAATCAATCTCCTAGTACCAGAAAGCAAAACAAAAACAGAAATCAACCCTAGGGGATATATACTGTTAATGTGCACAAATTAAAAAAAGAAACTGAAGCCAAGATCATACAGATTTGAAACCTAGGGCCAGAGATTTGGCTCAGTGGTTCCGCTGCCTGCCTTGAGAGCGCAAGGGCCCGAGTTCAATTCCCAGTACCCAAAACAAAACAAAACAGATTTGAAACCTAGGTATTCTACTGCAGAACTCTTAACACACATGAAATACCTGGGTCTAACAGAGCACTCCATAAGCAACTCTGTGATGATTATTATGGAGCGCCTCCCTCTAGCCCAAATTCTCCTTTCCCCTCCGGCTTCTGGTACTCACTTGGCCACCACAGACTCCCCACTGTCAGCCAGGGTGAGTGGTGAGGCCTCCATCTGTCCCTCAGTGGTGCTGGGTGGGGATGAGGTCCCCAAACTGGAAGGCCAGGACTCTTCAAACAGCTCAGGGGAGTTGGCTGACACCTTGGGAGCTTGTGGGAGCCTGGAACTCTGGGAGCTAGATGGGCTCAAGGCCTATGAGAGGGGATACAAGAAGAAAAGTGAGGTATGAGGGGTCATCCCCGTAGGGAATGATGATCTCATATAGCCTCCGTCCAGAAGGGAGGAAACATATCCCACAGTGTCACCACTGGTAACAACTTAAAGGGACAGGGGCTGTGATAAAGGATCCAGGGTAGACGGAAGAGGGAAGGCCATGGGGTGGGGGGAGAAAAAGTGTGAGGAGAGGGGGGGGGCTCTTTCTTCATCTCTCATCACGTCTTCCTTCCTTAGTGGTCACTCCCTTGCCAAGAGGTGCACTCTCTATGGGGTGTCCTCACCTTGGGGCTGAAGGATGGCCAATAGTGGCTTTGATCCTGAGGACCATCTCCAAAGGGACAATCTTGGATGGAGAAAAATGACAGACTGCAGGGAAAGAGCAGGGTTGGAAGGCAGAATACGCCTTGTATACAGTGTGTAACGATCACATCAGGGTAATTCCATTTCCATCTCCTTAAACATTTCTAAACTAGATTGATTCTAAACTAGAGTTCGGGTTAAGAACCGCGACTACAACGTATACTGTTCATTTCTGCTGGGTCGGGGTGGGGGTAGGGGAAGGAAATAGTATAGATGGACTACAATCCCCATGATTCACTGAGCTCCGCCTAAGCAAGAAAATTCGAAGCCAACACAAATGGGTGTCTACGAGCAATTTCAAAACTAGGAAGCTCAATTTCCAAGTGCCTTTTAACACCCTATGGGAAATAATCCCATAGGGCTACCCAGAGAGAAGAATATAAAACGTTTTGGGATCCTTGGGATGGTGAAGTCCAAGGCGGGAGCAGCCAAAGACTTTTGAAGTATCTTGGGAGTTGTAGCTCCAATACTGTTAAACCCGAGACTCCAGACTCTAAACAAACTTATGTTGCCTTTGCCTTTGGTCCCCGCCAAGCCTCCTGTAGTCTGTGGAAGAGGGATCTGCCTACCTGCGGTCCATCAGGCCGCCACATCAGCTCTCGCGAGAGTCCTCTACTTCACCGGTCAGACGCCGCGCATCTTGGTCGCTTAGCAATGCTCTGAGCCCCGCCTCTCTCTGGGAGAGCTCGGTTAGGAAGAGGCGGCCGCCCAGATGACCAATGATGGAGAGGAAAATAAAAAGTTACTGGAAAGTGGCCAACGGGAGATGTCTCATGATTGGGTCCAAGGCCGACCTGCCTAAAAGCGCATGTTTGATTGGAGAGTCTGTAGCATGCAGCAGTAATTGGCAAGGCCATAAACCAATGGAAAGGATTTGAAACTGGGTTTGTGGTCGAAAGTGATATAAAATCTCGCTTTGGGACAGTCTGGCATTCTGACTTCCTTCCTGTGGGTTCTAGGTCTCTACCCTGGCTCCAGTCTAAATATTGTCTTACCTGTTGCTGGAGCAATCGGGGAGTCAGTCTCCTCTGTCATCTCTCCATCAGTTGGGCCAATCAGCCAGTCTTTTTACTCTTGTTTCAGGAGCCGGTCAGAATACAGGCAGCTGGTCGCACCGCTTGCCAGGCCCGGGCTCCTGGCCCAGGTAGTGGGATCAAAATGAGCTATTTTGGGACCCGGCGCGCGCCCCCTGGGGGGCCAGCATGAAGCGTTCATGCTCACGCCCCCTAGACGCGGAGCATCCGAGGCTGAGTCAGAGGCACAGAATTAGGCCTGGTTGAAGATGGGGGTAGGATCTGGTCTGTGTCCTTTGGACAGCCTGGTCTGGCCACTGCATTCTCCAGGAATCTCCACCTAAAACTTCCATCTGCGTCATCCTCAGAACAGCCAGTGGGGAGGGAGTAGATTAAGGGAACCGGGGATTCTTTGGTGGACTCTCGCCCAGTTGCCACTTTGTGTCCCTTACACCTACAGGGTTCTGCCTCCTTAGACTTAGTTTTCCCTTCAGGAAAATGAAGAACCTTAATAACATTCCCCTGGCGTCTTTTTCCAGACATCCTGCAGGCGCTTAATAAATGGCCAAGTCATTATTGGGGTTTCTAAATAAGGCTCTGCTAATGGCCGAGTCTGGCTGCCGTCCCAATGTCCCCAGGAGGCCCGCAGAGGCCGGCACAGGGCGCACTATAAATCAGCGTCCGCGCACGCAGGGGCAGTACTAGTCCCAGGACGACGGTTAAGGAGCAGGATGGAGTATCCGGTACCAGTGCAGCCGTCTTGGCTGCGCCGTGCTTCGGCCCCGTTACCGGGACTGTCCGCTCCGGGACGCCTGTTTGACCAGCGTTTCGGCGAGGGACTGCTGGAGGCTGAGCTGGCTACGCTCTGCCCTGCTGGGCTCGCGCCCTACTACCTGCGCGCACCCAGCGTGGCGCTGCCAACTGCCCAGGTGCCAGGCTTCGGGGAGGTGAAAAGGCCTCTTGTGGGCAGCAGAAATGTCTTGTGATTTTAGCTTAGTGGAGAAGGTTCGCCCAGTCAGATGGGCTTTCCGAGTATGAAACCTGAGGCCTGGGTACTGAAGTGAGGGAGAGGTCCCTGTCGCTCTGAGGGGAAAGGAAGGTCTGGGCCCCTCAGGAAAATGTTAATGGTTCTGAAAGGGGCTTGGGACCCATTCGATCTGGCAGTGACTCCTCAGGCATTGAAACTCTATTAACCATGGGAAAGGGGTTTGGAGACTGTGGTGACTCCATGTACCCTGGATAGGGAAAGGGCAGGATGTGTCTGGTGACTTAATGGAGTCCTGGGCACTCTGCAGTGGGGGAAGGGAACCAGTAACTGTTAAAAGAGCATTAGGACCCGAGTGAGAGGGTAAAAGAGAATTCTGGAGTTTGGGACAAGAGGCATCTTAGAGATTTCTGGCAGGGGTGGAGGACAAGGGCCCCTGAGGTGGGTGAACGGTGACTCCAGAGAGTGTTTGACAATGAGGGTGAGGACAAGCCTGCTCACCCAGCGAAGGAGAAGGTCCCTGACCTTGCAGGGGAAGGAAGCCTCATCACTATGAGAAAGGGAACCCAGTGACTACAGTGGGAGGGAGAATCCCAGTTATTGAGGGTGGAGAGGCTCTAGGTGACTCAGAAGGGGACATTGCGGGTTGGTAGGCTATAGTACCAATACGGACAGGGATGGGATCCAGGGGGGTGACAGTCCTGCCCCATGCCGGCTGTGCACAGGTGTCGGCCGACCAGGGCCACTTCTCCGTGCTGCTGGACGTGAAGCACTTCTCACCAGAGGAAATAGCGGTCAAGGTGGTTGGGGAGCACGTGGAGGTACACGCACGCCATGAGGAACGCCAGGTGAGCCAAGAACAAGGGGAGGGCGGGGGCAGCGCCACGGGCAGGGGCTGCCGGCTCAACCCTCTCCCCTGCAGGACGAGCATGGATTCATCTCTCGCGAATTCCACCGCCGCTACCGTTTGCCACCCGGCGTGGACCCTGCCGCAGTGACCTCAGCTCTGTCCCCTGAGGGCGTCCTGTCCATCCAGGCCACACCAGCGCCGGCCCAGGCCCCACTGCCATCACCGGCTGCTGCCAAGTAGGGATCCAGGTGCACCTGAATTTAGGGAGCTGCTTTAGGCTCTTACTTTTTAAGCCGATCTGACTGCCCAGCCAGATATCCCCATCCTGACGGTCCCTCCCACCCAAATGGAGATCCCACCTGACCCCTCACCCTAGACCCAGCCTTTGATAACGTAGACCCTCTACTGATACCCCAACCCCTTAGGCCCCTTCCCACACCTTGCTACAAGCACGACCCTCACCTCAGCCTAGTCTCCCATCTTGGTTTATATCCTCACTCAGAACTTCCTTTTGCATTCCCTTGACTCCTACAAAACATCCCCACACTCCACTTCCATCCGTTCCCAGCTCTCCCCAGATTATGATGTAGTCAGCCCTGTCCCCGTGCTAGGTGAATCAGGAATAAAGCCCACCACCACCTCTAAATGTCCCACACTGTGCAGTCCTCCCACTCCAGATTGTCCAGGCCTCCTGGTGCAGATTCTCTTTCTTTTTTGGTACTGGGGTTCAAACTTAGGACCTTGCATTTGCAAGGCAGGCGGTGGCACCACTGAGCTAAATCCCGGGCTGCCAAGATTCTTGATCTTTTTTTTTCTCTGTAATCAGATACTCCATTACCCTCAACCCATTTTCTGACTTGAAACCCCAACCAGCCATCCAGATTTTTAAACCCTATTCTGATGTCCAATTCCTGCTGTACTTATTCGAGGCCAACTGGGACTCCCAACCTCAACCTGTACAGACACCCTTTCCAACTTCCCACACTTTGTAAGGCCCCTTTCCCAACTAACCAGAACCCCACAGTTGCTTCATCCTGATCCCAGTTCTCCAACCAGATCTTCTAGAGAACCCACACTCCACACTCCTAATCCTCCATAACCCAACCAAGGAACACTCAACCCCCACAACCTTTCTCCATGTTGAATTCCTTGCTATCCCATGCCTCTACTCCTTCCTAGGCTGACTGCCCAATAAATATGCAAGAGTTGTGTCCACTGCTTTATGTCTGGGCTAGGAAGGATGAGCTGAAGCACAGGCCAGTGTGAAGTTGAGGGATGTTTATTGGGGTGGGGAACCTGGGAATATCACTGTCGATCATACATCTCCCGGAGAATCTTCATGCTTTCTGAGTAACGAAGCTGGTTCCGATGAGATGCCTCCTTCCACCTGGGAAGGCAGAGGGAAGACTCAGCAATAGCAACAGAGGTCACAAGGGCCAGCAGGCTGAGGGACGCTCACCTCTGTCGGATGCGTTTCCAGCGCTGCATGTTCCGATAGATAAGTATGGAGGGTGAAGGTTCAGGTTCCGAGGGCTGTGGGAGAGAGAGGCCAGGGTGGGTGACTATGCTGGTGCCCCCTACAACATGTGCCCCCATGTGTCCCCCAACACATATGCCCCATTGCCCAAAGCCAGCCTTGTACACCCACCTCGTCGTCGGGGGTGCCCTGGGTATCAGGTTGCAATGGGGATGGAATGCGGGGTCTGCAGGCATCTCCAGGTGGCCCAGGGGCTGTAGGTGGAGGCAGCTTGTAGACATCATGACTCTTATTGTTGGTGACCTCAGAACCCTGGAGACACAAAGTCCCAAACCAGGCCTAAGAGACAGAGCAGAGGGCTGGGAATACATATTTCATCCTTCCTGCCTTTCCCAGAGACAAAAGATGTAAGGGATTTTCCAGGAAGTCTTTACTTCCAAGAGTTGTACCCAAAGCCTAGGTGGTCAGATTGGCCTTCTCCAGGGACCCATCTTCTCATGACAGCTCAAGAACCCTTGTCTGCTCTTAGCAGTCTAGGGAACCCCAACTGTACCTGCCAGTCCACCCCCTATGGAAGGTCTTATCTACTGTCTGCCTCAGTGGATTCTGTCTAGGGGTTCATGTCTATGTCGCCTAGGGACCACTTTCCACAGCAGCCTTGTGTGCTCTGATCTTGACAGTTCAAAGGATCATGTATCTGTCCTGGGGACCTTTGTCTACTTTCTCAGGCCAGGTGATTTACCTACCCCCTTCCATTTCTACCCAGCCAGCCCAGAGGGTCCCCATCTGTTCACCTGGCTGCCTAGTAACCATACCTCTCTACACTAAGAATCTCTGTCTAGCTCTTTAATTTTGGGGGGCCCTTAATCTTGGTCATGTCTATCTGCGCAGGGGAACCTTGTTCCCATTCTCCCTAGGTCAGGTGGCCACACCTGTCTGCCCTACAGACTTCTGTCCTTACCTATATATGCATTGGGATCCAATATGCATTTGGGGGACACAGGGACCTATGCTCATCTTCCATTAGATTGGAAGGAGGGGCTCTTAAGCCTGTCCCACCCATTACCCTCCCTCACTGCTGCCTACAGCCCATCCTACCTCCTCATCCTCAGGCAGTGGGGGCAGTGGTGAGCTGGGTGAGCGTTCATGCTCGCGCACCGAGGGGCTATTGCGCATCCAAGCTCGGCAGATTGGATACAGTGGTGTGTTCTCACTGAACTGGGCCAAGTCCACACTTCGGTCAAACAGTTTGATCACATATGTGTCTAGTGTGAGGAGAGGGAGGGAAGTGAGCATCCTTATACAGCTCCTTGTCCACCCTCTAGAACTGCCTACTCACTGGATCGCTGAGGCCCTCCCTCAGCCAGCCCATCATCCATCTCCCTCCTCTTCTTCCTCCGCTGGTGGGGGAAGCGGGCAGATGGCCTGTGTGGGAAGGGGGAGGGTCAGGACCAGGGCTGGGGCTCCTTAGTCTCCTTAGCTGTCCAGGACCCTTGTCATCTTACCTTTTGCCGGTGGCTGTGATGGAGCAATCCCTATGGGGAAAGATTGGGTGTTAGCAGGCTACCCCTCAAACACATGCTTGGTCAAAAACCCCTAAAGGGCATCTTGGGGCTACAGGGATCCCTTGGATCTTGTGAACCACCCATATCCTTAGGGATTTAAGTGCCAAATACAAGGGGACCTAGCTGCTTTTGCCATGATTTTTGTACATGTGGAGTGCTTAGGTCTGCGATGGAGGAAGCACAAGGCAGAATGGTCAGGGCTTGGGTGAAGGAAGAAGCTACCCACCACAAACCCTCAGAGCCAGATCCCTCAAAACACCTTACTTGTTGTGGGTATCAGAGGGGGTTTTCCCAACTTCCTCATCCAGACGCTCCCTGGCAACAGAAGAGGACAGTTGGCTTGGGGTTCCAGGGCCCAGAGTGGGACAGTACCAAATGAGCTCCCCATAAGACACCTTTATCCCCAAGTCAGCCTTTGGAGTCCTATACAGATACAACCAGAATCAGAGGGTCCCACCTGCCAAAGCTGCCAACCCTATAACCCCAGGATGGACTGGGTCCCAACCTGTCCATGTGACTCTTCTCCAGAAGACACTGCAGAACAGCATCCAGTTGGTTCCGGGCTTTGGCCATCTCCAACTCTGGGGGAAGAAGGTACCAAGCAGGAGTCAGTTCTGTAGCCATATCCTCTGTGAGGTCCAATCCTATAGCTTGACCCAAGTCTGCTGAAAGGCAGCAGTGGGTAGAGACCAGGAGACACAGGGATTTCCTTTGTCCCTCAGAAGACAGGTTAAACATAGGGGTTGAGGCAGTTGAGACTATAGCAAAGAACCTAAGACAGGAGCCAAGGGTGTGGATCATGCCCACATCTCTGTCCTCAGCTTTAGCTTATCTCCTCAACCCTAACCTGGGGATCCCATGATCTGGACACTTCCCCCTGGACATCGCCTAGGCCACTGATGGTGGACTTTTTAGGGCTTTAAATGACAGCAAACAGCTGGCTGGGCATGAATGCCACAGGTTCATCACTACTGTCTTAGACTCTTTCTATCCACTGGGCAGCACACTGGTCTCAGTGTCTAAATCTACCCCTCTTCTTGGATCCTCCAAGAAGGATGACCACACTATCCCCCAGTCCCTTCACTGGCCTTAACTTTTGTCCCTTCCCATTATTGGTAGTCAGGCTCCCTTTCCCTTTCCCTGCTGTTCCTTGAATACATCAGACAAAGCTTCTATTTCAGGGCCTTTTCAAAGCTGTTTCCTTTGTTCCACTAGCTTTTCCTTCATATGCCCTCATTGTTTTCCCACACCTTGCCTTACTCCAGATCTCCTTTCCTTCTCCCATGTTGGAGTCCCCCCGGACACACACACTTCCTTAAATTTAAGAGGCAAGATCTCATTATTGTTGCCCAGGAAGTCCCTTAACTCCTGGGCTCAAGTGATGCTCCTGTCTCAAGACACAAGAGTAGCTGGGACTATAAGCTCATGTTACTGCACCCAGCTCCTGCCTTGTTTTGTTCTAAACACATCTAACATCCCACTTATTCCATCTAACATCCTTTCCCCCAGTGCCCTACCATTCTGGTCTTGGGTTTCCATCAACTCTGCCCCAAGCCAGAGATTGTTTCCCCATCCACTGCACTTGTCTGAGCTTTAGTTTTCCCATCCACTGCACTTCCTACTTCCTAGTTTATTGGAATAGAGTGACTGTAAGGATTAAGAGTCCTGTTGCAGGGGATGTAGCTCAGTGGTGCCGCACCTGCCTGGCAAGTGCAAGGTCCTCAGGTGAATCCCCAGTATCTTAGGAGGAAGAAAAAAAAAAAAAAAAAGACCTGTACTTCAAGATCATAGCGCAATCCCCAATTCATGACTACCTCTAAGAACAAGAAAACTGAGATGGAGCCAAGAAAAATGCCCTTCTCAGAATCACCAGATGCCCATGTTTTACAGCACCACACTGAGTGAACCACCACCTTTCAATCTCAAAGCTACTACAAGGAGAGTGTGGGAGTGTATGAAGGTGGCAGCAAAAGCTTGCTGCCTGATATAGTGCTTGTCAGATGCGTTGTAGGAAAAAGTCACGTAGTAGCTTTCAGGACAATCCTGTCTGTCAAGCCTCCCAAATCCCAATCGACCACTGCCTCCCTATAGGGCCCGGTCCTCGGGTCCTCACCTGATTTTTCCACTTTCACCTTCACCGGGAACATGGTATGGTCCGGAGTCTGGCTAGCTGGCTCCAAAGAGCCTAGGGTCACAAATGAAGTGTGGAGGCGAGCAGGGAGAGGTCAAAGGTAAGCTCCGAGTACGGATAGCCCTCCGGCCTGAGTACCGTCCAGTAGTGACTCCCGCTGGCCACCTCCCTTCTCCCCCTGTAGGTGGGCCCTTTCAGGAGTCAATTGTTTCCATTAGTCAATGAATTTGTCAATCATCTCTTCTGACCAATTGACAGCTACTGTTGGCGGCTCCCAGCCTTAAATCCCACCTTCCCGGGGGCCCCGTTTCCGGAAACAAACCAACGACAAACTAGGGCCCTTTCCTGGAAGGTGTAGACTCAAAGTAACGCCGCCAGCGCCGTGCGCGAGGCACACTGGGAACTAAGGCTCCAGCATCGCGAGGCTTCTTGGGACTTGTAGTGTTAAGCTTGAACAGCACGAACTAGGCTGCTTACAGGATTTAACTACCGGTGGCACTCCCTCTAGTCCCTAAGAGGAAGACTAAAGTTAGTTTGGGTCCCTTTTTTTCACAGCACTGGCTACGTGCCAGCTACCTGTTAATGTCTTTTCAGGTACAACCTCATTATTTAGCAAATACCTGTGTGCCAGGCATTTATGTAGGCACTGGGGACAAAATAGTCAAAACCCCTTGTCCCAGTGTAGCTTACCTTTCACATTCTAAGCGAAATGTGGCAGGAAAAGGGATATAGCTTGAAATGGTGAGAGGAGCATCAAGTTTGGAATGGAAATTTTAAATAGGAAGGACAAGGGAAGCGGGGGTAGGGGTGTACACCTGAAATACCAGCACTTGGAAGGCTAAGGCAGGTGGATGGCTTGAGTTTGAAGCCAGCTTTGGCTACCCAATGAGTTCAAGGCCAGCCTGGACTACATAGCAAGACCCTGTCTCAAAACACTACAAAAAAAAAAAAAGTTCAAGGAAGGGTTCTGTGAAAAAGTTCTTGAATATATCTATTAAGGCAGACATCATCTCCTTCAGAGAATGAGAAACTTCTATTTACCACATATGTCTTGGCCCAGAAAACGCTTAGCAGGTAGTATCGTGATCTGCATTGTTAGGAATACTAAAATCCAAAGTAGGTAAAGGCACAGAGAAGTTTTGTTTGTGGTTCTGGGAATCAAACACAGGACCCTCAAGCATGCTAGGCAAATGCTCTACCACTGAGCTGCATCCTCCAGCCCTTAAAGTCTTGTTTTTGAATTCACAGCTACCAGGATAGTAGCCTCTAAAAATAGAAGCATTATTCCTTTCTTAGTCCCTCATTGATAAAATAGGGTCCCTGAGCAGAAATTCCTATTTCAGAGGGTTACGTTTGGTACTCAGTGGAAAAAAAATATATATAATGTGTGAAGCATTACTCATGGCACAAAGCAAGCACTCAATGAATGCTTTGAAATTTTTTTGGGGGTACCAGGTATTTAGCTCAGTGACTCTGCTGCCTGCCTTGCAAGTACAAGGATCCGAGTTTGATCCCCAGTACCCCCCCAAAAATAAAATAATTTTCCCCCTGTATTGGGATTGAGGCCAGGGACTTCACACTGAGCTACATCCCCAGCCCTTTATCTTAATTTTTAATTTTGAGACAGTATCTTACTAATTCCCTAAGTTGCCCAGGCTGGGCTTGAACTTTTGATCTTCCTGCCTCAGCCTCTCAGAATTTTGGGATTACAAGGTTGTATCACCACCACACGCGCTAATGCATGTCTTATACTTAAACCTCTGAAAGATCCCAGGAAGTCAGTATCGAATGTTAAGGTCTTTTATTGGGGGATGTCAGCAAAGAAGATGGGAGATGGGCATAAGTCTTACAAGTCTTTGGGGCTTGAAAGTAAGTTCAGAGCAGAGGAGCCCATCCTGGGAGAAAGAGCAGGTCCCCATTCTGTACTGAAGTTGTCAGGGGGTTCCCAAGGGTATGGTAAAGGAGAGGTAATCCCCAAGGGCACCCCAGCGGGGCCGGTAGATCTGGAAGATGGTGATCCAGGTGGTGAGCACAATTACCCAGAAGAGGAAGCCCACAGCTGAGCGCCAGACATCTATAATGGAGAACAGAGTGGGGAGGATTGGCCTCCAGCTCCTCTCTTGACTCCCTCAGACCAGCCCTCTCTTCTGTCACACAGAGGCCCAGAATTCTGGAGCCTCCATCATCTCCTCCCACCACCCAGTGACCTCCCTCATCTGTGCCCTAGACTCACAGCCTTTGATTTGGCTCTGCTCTGTGTAGGCTGGGACAAGGAAGGCCTCTCGGAAGAACCAGAAGATGTTGACCAACCACAGAAAAGGCAGGAATGCAAACCCACCTAGGGAGAAAAACCCACACTGGGCCACGGAACAAGGATCTTCCCTGACTCCCACACAGAATACTTATTTTGAGGGTCCTCTCCCCTAACAAAGTTCAACTGGAAATTTCTGCAGTCAGGGGCTCAGGGATCCTGGCTCCTCCTTGGGGTCCTGGAATCTGATTCCTCAACCGCCTCTTGTTCAGGACCCAGGAATCCCGTCCTCCAACTCTCTCTCAGGGTGTAGAAATTGAGGCTTCAGCTTCCTTCTTCTTCAGGACCCTGGCCCTCCCTTCTCTCAGACTCAGGAGTCTTCACTTGATTTACCCCTTAGATCCACGAATCCACGCCTCTAGGCCCTCTTTCCTGGTCCCTTGTCTTCTCTTTTAGCCCTAGAAGATCGGTCCTTACCTAGATAGTACTTCCGGCACAGGTTCAACTTCTCCTCATTAGAGACCCGCTCCAAATTCATAGCTGCACTAAAGCCCGGTAGTCCTACGAGACGTCGGGACAAGATTCAAGTATCACGAACAACCACGCCCCTATTACGACGAAAATAAATTTAGGGGTGGGACTGCTAAAAAAAGGGGCACTCCCGCTCCCACCAGCAAGCTCGCCGAGTTAAGAACCTTTATATTTATTGGGGTACGCTGAACGACTCTCAACTCACCAGTGATTCTTACTTCCTCTGCCTTGGACGCCTTTACCCTTTTCAATCACGCAGGCTGCGCGAGAGGCCGCAGGTTTTTCTGGAATTTGTAGTCTTTTTTTTTTTTCCGAGGTAACACTATACGCATGCGCTGCCACTGATGGGTTGGGAGAGCAAAGGCCTCCAACACGCGTGCCCACTAGCGAGCGTCTGTAAGCGCGATTAAGCATCAGGGATAGTAACGAACTACATTTCCCAACGCTCCTTCGTAGCGGAAGTGACGTAAGGGGAGATGTAGTGGAGAGATTGGCTTAAAAATGGCTGAATATTTAGCTTTAATATTCGGGCCTGAGGATGTGTGAGAACAAGCGCAGGGAGTGGCCCCTCAGAGAGTCCCGGGCACTTGGGTCTTTCGTGGCTGGGCGTTTTGGAGCGTTGTTTCTGGGGTGTTCGGCCTCCCCGGCCTTCAGTTCACCTGTCTTTGTACCTCTTCCGGGGTTAACTGCTGTTTTTACTTTAAGATCGGGGCTTGCTGGCACGGGGACCGGTGCTCCCGGCTTCACAACAAACCGATGTCCCGTCAGGTGCGACTCGGTTCAGAACTTTGGGGTTAATGTCTCCTGGTCCTTTTTCTTCTGTAGTTCATCCCCCACGAAGTCCCGTCTTTTCCGGGTTCCTAAGACCCACCCCACTCCCCCACCCCTGAAGCCGGCTGCTTTCTAGTTGG